GACAGCATGGAGCCTGCTTAGGATTCTCTCCCTTCCTCTCTCTCTGCCCCTTCCCACTCACATGCTCTCACTCTCTCTCAAAATAAATACAAAAACTTAAAAAATAATACTAAGATGGATAGATCTGAGAAAAACATACACCAGGCAATCACAGGTTTATCGTTCCACTGCCTTCCCTAAGTTCCGCCCTTTTCCCATAAAAGTACCTTAGGCAAACTCCTTCCCATTGGAGAGGCCATCACCACCCTCCTCACCGAACAAGGGGATTCTGCCGTCACCTCAGGCCCACGTGGTGGGCATAGCCCCTGCCACTGAGTCAGAGGAATGCATCTGGGACATTGTCAATACGTAATAAGAGGTCACTGAATGGCGTGATTATTCTGGTATTGTATTCTTGTGCATTTCTTTTTAAATTTCCATGAAACTTTGCAGCGCAATGTAAGAAATGCAGTCAAAGGACCTGTAGTTAAATTTGGAGCCCACTGCCTGTCTTCAGAGGGATGCTGTGGGTTTCAGCTACCCATGGCTTTGTCAGGTTAGATTTGGGGAACTCATTTTGTCAAAATTCCTGTGGGATTTTTGTCTGAATAACTCATATTGATTTTTTTTTTTTAAGTAAAACCTCCCCTGCCAAATAGTTATAGTTATATAACACAGAATCTTGGTTCCTTCTGACTTAGTGCCCCCAAACTCCCGACCCCACCTCATGGTCAGACTCAGAAATGGCAAAAGTGAGATGAACTATAAATTATAAATGTAACCCAGCTGCCGTGAGATGGAAAACAATAAATCTGACTTTCAAATAAAGCAAAGAACATTATTTTTTAGTTATAACTGAATAGAAATAGAGTGCTACTTAATTATTTTTATTGTCCCGAAGGCTCAGGCTTTTCTATAGATACTGCCCCCAAGTCCTTTTGTTTATTTTTTAAAAGTTTATTTATTTATTTTGAGAGAGAGAGAGAGACAGAGACAGAGACAGAGAAGCAGAGAGAGAGGGAGAGAGAATTCCAAGCAGGCTCCGAGCTGTCAGCACAGAGCCCGACACGGGGCTCAAACTCACAAACGGTGAGATCATGACCTGTGCCGAAGTCAGATGCTTAACTGACTGAGCCACCCAGGCACCCCATCCCCAAATTCCTTTTAACAGCACCCTGAAATTAACAAAGTACATTAGGGCTGAGAGGACCATCGAGGCTTTGAGCAGCCCCTGGCACACTGCATGCAGCCAGTAAATAACTACGTGCTGAAGAAAAAGGTGAAATGTGGACCACGTCATGTTACAAACCACAAAAGCTATTTATTCTGCCACTCTGTAGGAACCTCCATATTTAAAGCCACAGGCTTTCCCACGTATGCATTTTGCCAGAACAGAAGACATTGAAGTAATTACATTAGTTGATCAGAAACAATTTAGAAAAGATATTCGTAGGAAAGAGCCCCCCCCCCACTAAAGACATTACTTCATATAGTTTACACACAACTGTTCAGAAATGTATCTAGCACCAAAAACGGTACACAATTACACCGCATTTTCTCACAGATGGTTTCCTGTTCTTTCATCATTTTTTTCCGGTTACCATTTTAATCTCTTATTATAAAGTTTTCCTAGAAAAGCTGACGGCCCTTCTTTCAGGGAAATTAACTTTTTTTTTTTAAGGGTACAGGCTAAAGGAAATTAAGAACTTCCTGGTGAAATGACAAGTATTTATTTAGGTCCATGGATCCAAAAGAAATCTGGAAATAACACTGAAAATGGTTTTCAAGGTCCACCAGTGCTGGCCAGCCTGAGGTAGGCAGAAAGCAGACAAAACTGCTGGATAGGAGCCTGCCAAACGATGACTTTGCAAAGTCGTCCCAAAGACAGTGGCCCTTGCACACAGAGCAGAGGCAGGAGAGGGGAACAGGGGCAGAATAGAGGCAACAGGACTCGGGCTTCTGTGGCAGCGCTCCTACAAGCCAAGTGCTGAAAAGAAAAGAACTCTGCCCAGCCAGCAGATTTTTGGTGGCAACGGACTCATCAACACAGCAGTGAAATGACCAAGAAATAGGCAGGCGCTGCCCACTTTTATACCCATCTCATTTTGTCTCCATTTCAGAGCAGCTAACATTTTCACCAGTAATCGGTTACAGGCAATTATGAAAATGGACTCATAGGCTTATGTTTTTATATACGTCATGGATGGATCAAGGCACTCTTTAAGACAGAAAGAAGAAATCAAATCAAATAAAACAGGCAGGTAGGTCCTCTTTATCTCCAGAGTAACAGTCTTTGGGGGAACCATAATCCACAAAGAAAGCCCATCACAGTGAAACCTTGGCTTGCGAGCATAATTTGTTCCGGAAACACGCTTCGAATGCAAAACACTTGCATGTCGGGGTGCCTGGGTGGCTCAGTCGGTTAAGCGTCCGACTTCGGCTCAGGTCACGATCTCGCAGTCCGTGAGTTCGAGCCCCGCGTCGGGCTCTGTGCTGACAGCTCGGAGCCTGGAGCCTGTTTCAGATTCTGTGCCTCCCTCTCTCTCTGACCCTCCCCCTTTCATGCTCTTTCTCTCTCTGTCTCAAAAATAAATAAAAACGTTAAAAAAAAATTAAAAAAAAAAACCACACTCGTATGTCAAAGCGAATGTCCAGAACCGTTGGCTCAGTTGTGATCATGTGATGTTTGGTGTCACGTAGCACTCGTATTACAAGACATCACTCGTTTATCAAGCTAAAATGTATTAGAAATGTTTGCTCAGCTTGCAGAACACTGACAGAACAAGTTACTCCCAATCCAAGGTTTTACGTACATCCCATGAGGACAGTTGGGCGGCGGGGCCCTGCGTGGTCAGCAAAGTCCACTGAGGAGGTCACACAGTGCGTGGAATACCTTCTGTCCTTATGTGGGTCCTTCACGGATGTGGCTCACTCTCTCTGGTTCTCCCAAAGTGAAGGCTTCAGCTACATCTTTGCAAGAAGGGAGAAGTGTTTGTTTTCTTACACCCTTCAGTGTCCTGTGCGTGCATGTGCTTGGGTGTGGGTCTTGCTTCCCTGCTTTCGGGAGACTTGGGCTCACCAGGAGACGGAGGAACAACAGCCCAAGTGGCCCTCGGAGGAACAACAGCCCGACTGGCCCGCGGGGCCAGCCCAAGGAAATAAACATGGCGGCACTTCCGTGCAGTGATCACATCATGATGACGAGACACGGCTCTCCATGGCAATAGCTGAAAATGGCAGGTTTGGGAGGCAAGAGCCCGCACGAGAGGGAGAGAGGTGGGTCTGAAGGCCCAGCATGGCAACCCCGGTGACAGTAATTATGGTTAAGTTCCTCGGAGGGAGAGTGTCACTAATCTAAGTTGCTGGCACAGCAAGTCAGATGCCTGCCTCCCACCCTCCTCTTTCTCCCAGGATAATGGGAAGGGATTTCAGTCAGCGCTGGTAGCACGGCTCGGCTCACGAGGCCTCCTGCGTGCCTCGCAGACGCTTGCCAGCCACCGGGCGTGGGGTCTGGCTGAACAGGGGGAGGAAGGCTCCATCGTGCTGGGCCTTTCAGAAGCTGACCTCCAGAGAGCTCACCCCGCGGGGCAGTCAGCGGCGACTGATGCTGTGGGGCAGCGTGACCCCAAGCCCTGGAAACTGGCTCTGTGTGGATGCTCAGGCCCCCGGCCAGCGCGACGGAGGGGCCTTCTGAATGGTGATCTGTTTCTCTTAAGTTTTTAGTTCCGGATGGCATTTGCATCTCAGAAGCGTGTCGTGTTAGGTGTTCTGACATCCGGGGCCGTGTAGACTCTGTTGAGACTGCCCCACCCGGGGTTAGCCGGTTCCTAGGAGGGTAAACAGCTGACCTGGGAGCAAGGGTTTCAAATACAAGCTACCAATTTGTGGTCCACACCCCACCTCCATTCGCTATGGGGCTCTCACTCCGGGCCATAACTCCCCTACCCTAATCGCCCAAAGCCAGGCCCCAGACGATCAAGGGGTGGCCTTACACCCAGGGTCTGCAGAAATTATCCAACGCAACCAATTTTGAGCCTCTACACCTGTCTCACCTGTTCCTTCCCATGGAAACCACACTGTGGGCCCTTGCCCACATTTTACTCCGGCTCCCGCTGCCTGCTGTCTGCCCCTGGCGCCTCCCTGTGTGCCCCCGAGGGCCTGGTGTCGAGTGCCCCGTCCACCTAGGAACCGTAACAAACTATCTTTTCTTTTTTACTTTTTTAAAGTGTGTTTCTTGGGAGAGAGAGAGGCTGAGTGAGCGAGGGAGGGGCAGAGAGAGAGGGAGAGAGAGAGAAAGAATTTTAAGCAAGATCCACCCTCAGCCCAGAGCCGGATGCGGGGCTCGATCTCACGAACCAGGAGCTCGTGACCTGAGCTGAAATCAAGAGTTGGACGCTTAACCGACTGAGCCACCCGGATGTCCCCAAACGATCTTTTCAATGGCAATTATTTCCTGATTCATTGGCCTTGCTGTACCCCATTTTTTAATCAATACACTATATTTTAGAATAAATATCAGCCAAAATATGTCCCTGAGTGTTTCCACAAGAGTTGAGCGTAGTCTCGATGTACCTTAGGTTTAAAATCTGGGCTTCCACACAGCCAACAATGGCAAAAATCCAAAACCAAAACAAAACAAACAACAAAAACAAACAAACAAACAAACAACAACAAAACCGGGGCCAGTAATCAAGGCCCAGCACCCAAAAGGGGCCCAGGGCACATCAACGTCCAACCCTGTGAAGGGTGTTCTGTCTCTCCTGCAGGAACCTTTTTACTGATGGGGTCCAGCCTTCTCTTAATGGTCCTGGGCTCCTAAGCAAAATATTCCAACTTTTTTTTTTTTTTAGTTGACTTATTTATGTAGAGAGAGACAGTACGAGGGGCAGAGGGAGAGGGAGAGGGAGACAGAATCCCCAGCAGGCTCCACAATGTCAGTGCCGAGCCTGATGTGGGGCTGGAACTCACGAACCATGAGCTCATGACCTGAACTGAAACCAAGAGTCTGACGCTTAACCGACTAAACCACCCAGGTGCCCCAAAGGCTTTTATTTTTAATACTAAAAAGGGATATCATTATTTTCAAATATATTTAGATGAATTCGTTGTTTGGTTCACTACTGCTGCTTTGGATGTTTTTCAGTCCATTTGGACGCCCTTGTGATAGTCGCCATGGCTCTTAGTTGGATTTTCAAACCCACCAGACGCGCTACAGAGCTGCCTCCTTCCCTTCTTCCTCCCCCTGCTTTTGCTGTGCTTTCTTCCTCACATTTCTCACATTCTGAAACCTCTAAAAAGTGGGGGAAAGGGCAGAGAATCCTGAAACACACATAGAAGTGGCCCCTTCCTAGAGTAGTTGTTATGAGGTCCCATGTTTGGTTTTCGTTAAAAAAAAAAACAAAAACAGAAGAAATAAAACATTGGCAAGTAAAACTACAGATTCTTCTGTCTCCTCTTCCAGGCCGGTCACCTCCCTTCTTCCTAAAGCTAACCACTGTTTGGTGTCTTTCTAGCCCAGTTTTTATTCCTTTGCATCGCATACACATGAATCCTTGAACAAGATGAGCGTTGTGCTTTCAGCTTTCACATAAATGGTCTCATGCTGCCGGCAGTATTCTGCAGCTTGTTTAGTTGTTAAAGATCTACCCGTCTGTCTCATCTCTTTCCGCAGCTTTTGATGATGATACTGTGTTCCAGCAGATGAATTGCCACATGTATTCAGACAGTCCACTGATTCTGCAAGGAACATCTTTCCGCGTGTCTCACAGGCAGATGTGCCGGGCTAACTCTGGCATATTCACAGACCTCGAGTGTGCTGGGTCAGAAGTGATGCACGCTGTGAAATTGACAGAAAGCCTGTCAAATTTCTCTCCGAAGGCGTGGTCCGGGTCCTGTCTTCGCCCACGGAATCTCGGCAAGATTCTGTCTACTGGGAGCAGGCTGTTGGGCCTCCGAAGTTTGTAGAAAAGCGAGAGAGAAAAACAAAGGAGTTTGTTCAACTCCGAAGTTTCATGAAAGAGTGGCACAAACCACGAACAAGTTACTGATAGTACTGTTTCTTACAGAAACTTATGCCCGGATGCAGTGCCCATCGGGTTTGGAGTTCTACAAACGTTTGGCGCCCACGGCATTGCCTCCGACTTATCCACAACCGTGTCGCTAATGTCTGCCTTTCTATCCTTTCTCCTTTCAGGAAAAATCCTTTCTTTTCCATTCTCTATGTCCCCTGTAACATTTGCATGACCTAGTTCTTGCAACTATATACAGCAGTGACTATTTTAACTCCTGGCCACTCAGTGAAGTGGGCATAATAATATCTGGAGTGAATTGATAACTTTTTTGGCATATATGTCTACATGAATTAGATCCAGCCAGAGAGCTTATATTAAAGAGCGTCTTCATAACAAGGGCCAGAAGCTTTTGATCTATGGATCTCTAGCTCTCTGTTTAATAGGTTTTTGTTTGGGGGGGAGGGGTCACCTAGGTGGCTCAGTTTGTTAAGCCTCTGACTTCGGCTCAGGTCATGATCTCACAGTTCATGGGTTCGAGCCCCACATTGGGCTCCGTGCTGACAGCTCAGAGCCTGGAGCCTGCTTCAGATTCTGTGTCTCCTTCTCCCTCTCTGTCTCTCCCCAGCTTGCTCTTTGTCTCTCTCTCTCTCTCTCTCTCTCTGCCTCTCTCTCTCTCTCTCTCTCTCTCAAAAATAAATAAACATTTAAAAATTTTTAAAAGTAGTTTTCTTTTAATATTTTTACAAGTAGGGGGAGGTGACCAACTTCCCTGTTTTTCCTGGGACTGCAGAGGTTCCTAGGGCACAGGACTTCCAGTTTTAAAACTGAAAGTTTCAGGCAAATCAGAATGAGTTGATTACTCTATTCATATGATTGTACATGCAATTAGAAAGTGTGCTCCCAAGGGGCGCCCGGATGGCTCAGTCTGTTTAAACGTCCGACTTGGGCCCAGGTCATGACCTCGCAGTTTGTGAGTTCGAGCCCCGCGTCGGGCTCCGTGCTGACAGCTCGGAGCCCGGAGCCTGCTTCGGATTCTGCGTCTCCCTCTCTCTCTGCCCCTCCCCCACTCACACTCTGTCTCTGCCTATCTCTCTCTCGACACTAATTGAACATTAAAAAAAAAAAAATTCAAAAAAAAAACAACAAAGTGTCCTACCAAGCCCCAAGATAGCTCAACCAGGGGAGGGAGAGAGTAGGTGGTTTTAAGGCTCTCGTGGGGATGCTTAGCTGATGATCAGCAGTGGTCAGCAGTCTGGCTGTAAGGTCTAAAGTAAGATCAGAAAGCTCAGGGTATGTTTAGCCAAGATGGAGAGGGAATGAGAGTCAAGACCAGACATGAGCCAGCTTCGCCCAAGGTATCAGCAAGAGTCCCAGCATCAAAGATGGCATGATATACGTCCACGTCAAGGCTTCTCTTTTGCTCTCTCTTCTTTCTTTCTTCCCTTGCCTATGGACGTGCTCTCAAACAACCAGAATGGGTAAACCACGTCGGCCAACATGGTAGAGGAAGACTGCTGGGCAAGGGAGATGGGCAAGGAAATGGGTTAAATGGGTGATGGGCATTAAGGAGGGCACTTGTGATGAGCACTGGGTGTTACATATAAGTAACGAATCGCTAAATTATACACGTGAAGCTAATCTCACACTCCGTGTTAAGTACCTAGAATTTAAAGAAAAACTTCAAAAGGGAAAAAAAAGGGAAGATTGCTGGGTGATGATACAGCAAAGCTAGGTTGATGTGCTGTATTGTACTGATTCATTCTCAGACGATGAGAACTTATTTCTTGTTTCCAGTTTTTCAAGATTTCGGACATATTGAGGTTAGGACAATTGAGGACTTTACCAACAATTGGTAATATCTTACATTTGCCTAACACTTTTAACTTCTCAAAGTGCTTTACATCTATTTTCTTCTAGTATTTGCTCTCTAGCTCCAGGAAGTAGCTCTTTTTTGTAGATGGACAAAAAGAAGACACAGATGACGATAAACATTATCCAAAACTCAGGGATGCAAACTCAGCCTAGAATCTTCATCTCCTAATTCCTCATGCTCTCCTAAATTGGACTGTGCTCCTGGTAGAAGGTACAGGAAATATTTTTTTATATCTAATATCTAATTTGATGGTTTCAAACGTTTAAACTTGCAGCATCATATTGTCAAATAAAATCTTATATGGGACTCAAATATGTAAGACTTTTATTTTTTTTTAAATTTTTTTTCAACGTTTATTTATTTTTGGGACAGAGAGAGACAGAGCATGAACGGGGGAGGGGCAGAGAGAGAGGGAGACACAGAATCGGAAACAGGCTCCAGGCTCCGAGCCATCAGCCCAGAGCCTGACGCAGGGCTCGAACTCACGGACCACGAGATCGTGACCTGGCTGAAGTCGGACGCTCAACCGACTGCGCCACCCAGGCGCCCCAATGTAAGACTTTTAAAGTAGAAGTATCTCAGATTGGCATACAGTGCCTGAAACTTCCTCCAGTTCTCCCTTCTTCCCATAAACTTCTTCCAAATTCCTTGGAAGTCAGTTTGGAAACCACCAATGAGTTCCATTCCATTCATTTGCCAAATGAGGAAATAGCCAGAGAGAAGTCACTGGGATATGCCTCAGATTGCCCAGCTGAGTACAGGAAGAATTGGCATGAGGTCCTGTGGCTCTGGATTCTAAGTTCATTAGCAAGTCTTTATCATTGCTTGAGTTTTTCATAGTCTTCCATATCAAAACAGCTATCAGAAGCTGTGTTCTTGTTTAAATTCTTTTATTCTCCTGGTTTCATTTGCGTTTGGTTTTTTGTTTGTTTGTCTGTTTGCTTGTTTGTTTGTAGAGCAAAGTTGAACATATAAATAAAGCAAATTATTTCACAGTTCACTCTTCTGGTTTGTTGGTAGAATTCTTTTCAAGCATTAAGGCAATCGCATGGGTAAGTTACCGTAGATAATATAAAATACACTTGGCAATATCACGTCTCCCATTTCCCTCATATTGTGTCACGTCTAGGTCAGGCACAGAGTAAGCATAATCTACCTCTTAAAACAATTACCCAAAACCAGGCACTTGCACTAACCATGCACCTTTTCATTTCTGGGGAAGTCTTTCTGGAATTTAGCTTTTGTTTCCATCTTCTTGAACGTTCTCTCTAGACTTTATTGTATAAAAATATGTGTTTGCTACAGATTATCAGCAGAGATATTCCCTAACTTTATTGTAACTGGCTTAACACAAGGCAGAATGACCTATGTGGGGAGACCTTGACATGTAGAAGGATTCTTGTGTCTGAACCTGCTTTGCTGCGTGTATTGAGTGTTGAGTTAATGCCATGGCGAGGCAAGGCATAAATTAAATCTTTTCAAATGGTAACTCTTCAATCCCTTTGTGAAACAACTGGTCTTCTCTCATTGTCTCCCCATTAAATGTCATCATCAAATTCAAGATGGTGAAGAAAATCCCTGGCCCGGTAAAGAAGATGCTAAGTCCAAATTGCATTATTTATGGAATGCAAGTATTACATCAGGAGTCAAAAGGATAAGAGTTTACTCAGGAGGTGGTGATGAATAAAAATGCTCAGCAAATTACCTGAGCTCATCAGCTTGGATTGGAATATCTCATAGTAGATAGTAGTCACAATAATGACCGAGTATTAAAGTCTTACAACATGCTGGGCCCTGGGCTAAACGATTTATTCCATGTACTTGCATCTTAAGAAGAAAGAAACAGAAAGGTTAAATTCTTTACTTTTTTGTGGCAGATCCAGGATTTGAACCCAGGTCAGTCTGGCTCCATTGTCTGAATGCTTAACTGTCCCCATGTTCCACAGCCTTTCAAACCATAACATTTCCAACAGCCCCCAGAGAGGTCAGGCATGAAATAGAATGAGATCTTCTCTTTAACCAATTTCAATTTCATTGAAGGAAAGATCATTAGGAACGAAAAGGGTACTTTGTGCAACTAGCTAGAACTTTTAAAATACCTCTGAGATTCCTCACCAAGCTCCTTACGAGGTATGGATAAAGTTAAAAACAAAATCTTTAACATACTATTAATTGAATCTCACATTTTTCAAGGGTTTGACCTTGAAGTGTCCATGGGCCTTCTTTCCAGTCACTTTTGAACCATCACCTGCCAGTTTGGGATATATGGTCATATGATGTCTCAGTTGGTTGAAAGGATAGAGGTCACTTTAGTTTAAGGTTTTACACGTAGCCAGAAGACATCTCACTCCCTGACCCAACTCAGGTAAACGACTTCATCATCAACATCCCACTGTAGCGTTTCTTTTATGGAAGCCACTGAAAAGGGGGATTAGTTCTCAATTCAACTCCATTCTAATCCAATCCAATTCAGTAAACACTCACTGTGTTTGACATTCTGTGGGACACACACACAATAAGGAAAAGGTCTCTGCACTCAAAGAACTCACAGGCGAGGGTGCAAGACAATGAGTCTACATGAATTCCACCCCAGGAGACAGAGGCTGACACAGAGGCGGGATGCACAAAGGAAAGAGTGGTTGTTGATTCAACCAGGAAAAAGGGAGGGAATCCCAGAGAAAGCCCTCACTGAGCTGAGTTTTGTAGGATAAGTCAGACCTCATGGATGGATAAGGAGACAATGGCCCTCGGCGGGAATGGAAGGACGGATCGCCAAAACACAGCAGGTTGTTCAAGTAAGTAGTTCTGGAAAGGATCCTATTCACATGGTTTTAACCCATCCCTGTGCCCTTGACTTTGATCTACCCTCTACTGCATCAGGGTGTCCACCTACCCAGAGTCCCCTCCTGGCATAATTTACTCACAACCATTCACACCCAATCATGGTTCAGGGATGGACTGGTAAAGACCCAGGGCTCCCACTGTGGGGCTGGAGAGACTGAGAAAAGCTTTACATTCTATTTTTTTCTGACCGAGGCAAGACAAAAAGTCTTTCCCAGCAAGAGATTGTTATTATTCTTGGACCGTTCTCTATTTTTAAAATTTGGGCCAGAGCATGCCTTTTGCTTTGGAGTTGGGCAACTAAGATCATTCTACTTCCCAGACCACTTTATTTTTAAAATCTCCATCTGTATTGACTTTGAGCTTGAGCAGGATCTGTTTCCGAGATTATCTTGTCATGGTTCACAATGCTCTGGTGCCCTCTTGCTTTATATTGGTTGGCTTATAGGGTGTAGTGGTAGGTTTAAAAGCTACTTTTGAGGACTTTTCATCATTGTGGTTCCTGTCACTAAAACTCAGGACAAACAGGGGTAAAAAAAGAAGCGTCTTGGAGAGAAAGAAGAAAATGAATATCTTCCTCAATATGTTTAGCCTGATAGCAAATAAATATATTTGGCAGGGTGAGGGTTACGACGTACACAGAGACATCTCGGCCATCTGTCCAAAGCTCTTCGAACGTGGTTACCTCACACTGCCATCGATGGCTGGTTTTTGCTCTAAATATTTGGCAGAGGAGGTGATATCCCCCTGGGATGTCACAGCCCCTCCACAGCTTCCTGCCTTGTTGCTGCTTACTGGTTCTCTATCAACAATTAGGATTAGTAGAGAACCCCAGGCTTTTGCTGGGTTAGTTTCCAACTCTGTAAGTTAAATCAGCAATTGAGGATGTCTCAAACTAGGAGCCTGCGTGGTTTTAAGGTTTCTTTTCTTAAGGTAGTGGGAAACCAATTCAACCTGAAAACGAAAATGCCCAAGGAAAAACTCAGACGCATCTTCCCATGACAGCGAATATCCATCATTAGATTCAAGGGTTTACACACCGCGGGCCTCCGTCAGTCTCCTCAGTTTAACAATTAAGGGTCCTTTCCCTCCCACCTGCCTGGAAGAAGAAAGAGTTTGAGTTCTAATCGGATATAGGTTTACATCAAAGAGTTAAGACAGGAAGAGAGCCAGTCTCTCAGCTTTCCCCCCCTTGGAATTGAAGTCACTTTCTCTGTTCACCTCAGAGAGTCTCTGTGATGCTTGTCACTTTCTGTATAGTCTACTGGGCTAAACGCCTCCCCCTTCCCCCAACCCCCCAAACATGAAAGGAAAGCAAATGAGCCTGTAAGCACTCCCGGATAATCACCCATCCTGGCCTGACCTCCTAGCAGCACAGCTCATTTATCTGATCATCTTTATCTCTCCTTTTTTTTTTTTTATTATTTTTAATGTTTTTTTATTTATTTTTTGAGACAGAGATAGAACAAGCGGGGGAGGTACAAGACAGGGAGACACAAAATCCGAAGCAGGCTCCAGGCTCCAAAGTGTCAGCACAGAGCCCAACACAGGGCTCCAACCCACGGACTGTGAGATCGTGACCCCAACTGAAGCTGGACGCTCCACTGACTGAGCCACCGAGGCGCCCCCATCTCTTTATTGACAACTGACCTAATCTGAAACATTTCCCTTAGGTGAACTTTCTTGTACGGAGTCAGTGAAAGGCGTGGGGCAGAATTTCAGCCCCTTCTGAAGCCCCACTGCCCAAATCATTAGGTGACCCCGCATATTCCCCGTTGCGTAGACACAGACACAGCCCGGCGTGGCGTTGTTAAAGTGTCTTTCCTTTCTCACCCCCCTGCTGGGTCTCAGGCTCTTTATCCGCAGCTTTCTGCAGCAGGCCAGGGTGATTCTCAGCTAGGACCTGGGGTTGAAAACTGCTCGGATGGCCATGAGGTAAAAGAGCAGGGTTCCCAGATGCCCTGCTTTCCACTCCACTCCTCCTGTTCCACCCCTCTGGGATCTCTCGCCAGCACCAGATTCCTCTGGTGATCGTAGCGGACCGCAGTCAGCGTCGCTGCATACGGGTGACCACACTGAGCCACCGCCAGAGGTGCCGTTGTGAGAGGGACAGTTGGATGGCGATGCTGAAGAGTATTGGCGTTCTCCCCTTAGGAGGGGGAGGGTGTGGCACTGACCCCCACCTCCAAGGGGAACAATCACTGCTGTGGGCCAAGTCCCCTTACTCAAGCTAAGCTGGGGCAAGCTAAGGACTGAGTCCAGTTCAGTCCTGGGGCTACATTATTTCTTTAGTTGCATTTCACACCGGATAGGTCTGAACTATGGGCATCATTCCTTCGGCCCATGTGGGGTCCAGATGTACATGGTCAAAAGGAATTTTTTCTTTCTAGAGACTTTGGAGGGATCAAAAACTGCTGCAGATTCCAGTGTGTTATTTACATGCACTCTTTAGCACTCCATGACCATGTGACAGGTGCCCTGGGATTTGCAAGTGGAGCCTGGAAAGGAGCTGATTCAAGTCACAGAGACAGACTGACAAAAATTGCAAGGGCCTGACAGAGGGTAGACAAAGAGAAGTAGGAAAGAACCGAGGGCTGAATTTGGTTAGGCCCTTGGTTTGGTCACCTGTTGGTATAATCTGCTCAAAGGGAAGATGGGAAGAAAAATATCCTCTTGACTTGAGAGAACTCCATCACTCCATGTGCACAGCCATCCATCGGCTTCTCCGTGGACAATGGCTGCAACAGAAATGTAAGAGAGAAAAGCCTTACGTTTTCTTAGAACTCCTTCTTTCAGGCGGTCCTGTCTTCTTGTTTCTGTAGACTTTCATCTGCAGTCTCACTTACCATCTTCTGTTCCCCATCTTCACCTCAGGGCTCGTGGAAAGGCACAGAAGGCAAGGGCTGAGAATCAGAGGGACCATGGTACAGAGCTCCACTTTGTCACTCTGTACAGTGACAGAGTTGGGGGTTATTACTTAATCTTGACCGTTCTGAGTTTTCTCATCTGTAAAATGCGGGGATAACAACGTGAGGGGGGACAACAATGGAACACTACTGTAATATGTGGTTCATTGTACGTAAAGGTCTTGAGCCTAGTGGCCGGAGCAAAGAGGTCACATTCTTTTGCAACCTGCTTTTCTTTCAGTTTCTATATTATGAGCATCCTTTCCGTGTCCCTCTATACAGATAAACCCCATTCTCACCCTTAATGACTGCACTATTTTCCATCCTCCAGTTTCCCTAATATATTCAACAGGTGCCCCAAATCATATTAAGGTATGTTATGGTCGTTTTAAACATTTCTACCTGTATTTATTGTTTGGGCTGTAACTATATTGGAGAGAGGTCTGAGGTAGCCTCAACTCATTTGGAAACTTGACAATAATTCCTTGAGGCAGGTACCACGATCTCACTTAATAGATGTGGAAACTAAGCTTCAGCGAATAATTCCTTTGCTCAAAGCCACGGAGCTGCAAATGACCAAGCCAGATTCTAAGTCAGCATATGTATGATGCTCAAGCCCAGCCCACTGGGTTAACATTTTGCATGAACCCTCAGGAAATTCTGAACCCGGAAAATTATTTCTCATCATATAATCCATTCTCATCCCAAAGTTCTTCCTAAGTATGTAAGGATTCAGACCTTTTGTATCTCGCCCTCCTTTGCGTCTTGCCCTCTGGTGACCGGCCTGGGGCATAGCTCTCCTAAACCTCCCTGAGAGGGGGTTTTGGTGTACCAACGCTTTATTAAAATCACAGATTTCCTCCCGTTCTTCCCACATTTTCACGTGCTGCACAGAGATTTGTCTGAAAGTAGTGCAGTCTGGCCATCTGCAGCAGAAACCAAGCATTCGACGCTCTATTTACAAGGAAAATGCACTCTGACTTCATTGGTAGCCTGGCCTCTGAGGCCTTGACCCTGCAGTCTGGGAAGATGCATGTAGAATTGGGTGGGGATGGGGGGGTCTCACCAAACACACCGGCTCAGCTGGACCGCTTCTTCCGTGGGTCCTCTCTAGGCACTGCACCTGCGCGCTCCCCTGTCCAACCTCCCGGACCACCCACAAAGTGCCGTCAGATGAATTATTCCATCTGATGTCAGCCAAAACCATAGATGTGAAAACCGTGGCTAGGTGACATCATAACTCGAAATGTGAGCGGGACAAGGTCAATTTTCATCCACGAAATGTCAAGCAACCAGCCTGATTGTTTTTACTGACTTGACGGGATCGATAGGTTGTTAAGTCATTGTGTTGACACTGACTGAATCAATATCCTTTGAGTTGGAGGGAAGAAGGCAGAGAATAGCAACCAACATTTAAGCAGGAAGCATTCGAGGTCTCATGTGTGTGCCCTCCTGCCTTAGATTCCCTTCTGACCTCCACCCTGCGAGGTGGGCACTCTTATTGTCCCCATATCCCACATGAGGAAACCGAGTTTAAGAAAAGTTACGCATCTTGCCCAAGGTCATCCAGGTTAGTGACCTGCCCAACTTTGAGCCTTGTGTGTAACTGTCAGACTCAACGGCTATCACTAATTGCTTGGACAGCACTGCAGATCCCAGCACTTGGTGTCCCATGCCCCACCAGCCCTCCAGGTAAAGGGCGGAGAAGGAATCAAAACCTTCACTGGGTTCTCTAGTGACAAACAGTCAGCGATGACTTCGTTAGACCACATTTGCGGGGCTGGCATAGGGTTTTCTTGCGTGACCTAGTGACAAGAGTATTCTGGAAGTCGCACACAAGCTACAGTGGCTTTATTTATTTGGATTTTCATGGTTCCGTGCTTTGAGGTTGGAGGTGGGGGATAGAAGACCTTAAGCCTTGAAATACTCACTCTGCTGGACGCCTCATGTGCACGGCTGTGCCTGATGTGGGTGTTTGTAGATAGTTATTTCCTCGCCTGTGTCAGAATCATTTGAGCCCCTGTACTTTGTACTTGAAAGGATCTTCAAAGGGTGACATCCTCTCAGAAGTCTGGACTTCAAGCTTCCTTTTGCCTGCTTTCTGCAGTTGCTTAACAACATTGAGGGTTTGGGTGGATCATCTTTTCTCGGCCCCCACAGACTGTGGCCCAGCCTCTCTTGCAGACCCGGAGGGTCCTAGCACCTGCCCCTGGTCAAACTGTCCCCATGTCTAGTTGGCTTTGGCAGGAGAGAAAAGTGGTGTTGAATTTTCAAAACATTTAGGGGTGCCTGAGTAGCTCGGTCAGTTAAGTGACTGACTCTCGATTTCAGCTCACGTCATGATCTTGTGGTTTGTGAGTTCAAACCCCACATCAGGCTCTGCACTGTCACAGTGTGGAGCCTGACTGGAATTCTCTCTCTCTCTCTCTCTCTCTCTCTCTCTTTCTCTCTCTCTCTCTCTCTCTCTCTCTCTCTCTCTCTCTCTCTCTCTTCTGCTCCTGTGTGCTCTCTCTCAAAATAAATAAATAAACTTAAACATTTTTTTTTAAGGGACAGTCCCCTGAAATCTGGGAGGACTGCCTGGAGGAAGCCTGCTTTTCTGTACTGCAGTTTTGGAGGGAAAGGCAGCCTAGCCACCTTTGCCGGAAATACAGTGGGATAACCCTTGCCGTCAGCACCAGCACCGTGACCAGGAATAGTGAAGGGTGTGCCAGCTGCGGAGGGCGAGAAGACAGTGGATTGCAGTAGGAAAAGTCATAGACTAGGAGACAAAAGATTTGGATTTTAGTTGGTGCCCAGCAGTTCCCGTGTTAGCTAAATGCATTTGCAAAGCAAAATCAAAGAATGTTACAAGTTTGATAGTTGAAATCTCAAAACAACAACAACAACAAAAAAGAATCAGTTATCACAGGGAAAAAAATAAGAATTTTGTCTCACTTCTTCATGCTTGTTTTCTGGTTTCACATTGCATTTTATTTGCATTCTGGGGACTTGAGTGCTGGTAGGTGGCACACACACTTTTTGATGCCCAGGACATCTAGAGGTCATGTCACCCAGGCTTTATCCGGGAATGTGCCATTATCCATGTAACTCTGGGCAAATCTGTCCATCTCTCCGAGGCTTGGTTTTCTTCTTTGTTGTTGAACAAGGTTTAGTGGGGGTCAGGGGGACAGGTGGAAGTCAGATAAATTTTCAACTTACAAAGTAGGGGACCCCAATTAATTTTGACTCCTGTATGCTTCCTCCAAGAAAGAAAGATTGCTGATACTCGCCTGGCTAAATGAAGAGCCGTATTCTAGAGGACTACATGGAAAAAATTTTCTTCTGGAATCAGTGAACCATCTTAACTTCAGACAGAGGCTGCTTCGTTGGAATTTGGATTCCACCAAAACATCAAAAGGGAACAGAATGGACCTAACCTTAGGAGCTACTCCCAGACATCGGTTAACACCTGCTGTTGGAGATATGGGAATGACACTGAAATATTTCCAGTGACAACTTCCTTATGGGTTCAGGTCTAGAAAACAAAAGAACACTTGAAGACACAGACTCACAACTGAGTTTCTCAAGCACTTCTGTCCTTGTCAAGCAGTGACTCAGGGGACCTGGGTGTCCCAATCCTTCCTCCATCAAGACAGCTGATCTGAAACCATTCTCCAGAAGAACGTTCTCCTTCTCATGGGCTTTTATTCTTATAAAAGATTATGGTGAAGATTGGTAAATCTTCATTCCTTTAAAATATAGCCTCTGAGGTGCCTGGAAGGCTGAGCCGGTTAAGCGTCCGACTCTCGATTTCAGCTCAAGTCACGATCTCATAGTTCATGAGATTGAGCCCCGAGTCGGGCTCTGGGCTGACAGCACAGTGCCTGCTTGAGATTCTCTCTCTTCCTCTCTCTCTGCCCCTCCCCTTACTCATGCACATGCTTTCTCTCTCTCTCTCTCTCTCTCTCTCTCAATAAATAAATAAACATTTATGGTGTCTTGTACCCAAAAGACAGAAATTTATGCCAACCCTCTTCTGCCTTGATATTTAACCTTGGGGAAAAGCTACCCCACCTACCTACATTTGTCAAACTAGCCAGGGAGTCCCCACAGAGGTGAAGAACTCACAGAAAGAGTGCTCGGTAAATGTTGGCTCGCCTTTTATAATTATTTAAGAAGTTAACTGAAATGAAGTGAAGCTACAACAGTTGTGCTTGTCTTAAGCACACTTGTCTTGCTTGCCACCGCTTGTCTTAAAATGCCTTTCACGAAACATGGAGGCTCTTTCAGTTGCAATAAAAGCACGGGCCTTCTGGGCCCGCTGTCTTTGCTTCCTCTCTCCAAACTGAATGCTCTGTCTTCAACCACTGCCTATTTACCTATTTCACACGTATACATCTGCTGGTAGCAGGGCACGATTACCTTCTTGCTTCCAGAAGTATGTCATGTGCTTTTTCTGATTGTTTCAAAAACACACGCACCATGCGTGGCACACAGCCAACACGGGCCGGGATGAAGACGGTGTTGGGAGCTGGTAATAACAGAGTGCCTTTGCAGAGCTCATGGTGAATAATCTGGTAAATTAGAACCTAGATACCATGCCACATCGTTTAATAATGTTTCATGCGTTTGATCTTCCCTTCCTCACTGGTTTCTAGGTTCCAGAAGGAATGTAGAAGGGTAGGCATTTTTCATCCTGTCTTAGGTCCATTTTACGAAGCCTATTCTACACACAGAGATGAACATAATAACTAAGAAGAAAGCTCCTTCTCCCAACTTCCTAGACTTACTATGGAAAATGCTCTTGTTACATCCTGGTAATTTAGAAAAGAGCTCTTTGAATTTTCCAGCTCATTGAAAGAATTCAATTGGCCTCTGCTTTCCAAGACAGATCAAAAGCCTGCTACCACCCATCCCCCGCCTCCGCAGCTCCATACTCTGACAGCTGCCTTTCCTTCCGGGTCCTGCTTTAGTCACAGCTCCGTTTGGAATAATTGTGGATGTGTCATGGCAAAATATCAAGTGAAGGGACTGGTGAAATGAGACAAATCTCAAGTCATAGGACGTAAACACGTGTGTGCCCACCATCTGTATGATGCACTTGGCATTTGTAGCAGCAGTCTGACCAAGGCGTGGACCCTCTCCTGGAGCGAAGCCTTCACTACAAGGTCCCGGGCAGGAAGACTATGTCCTCTTTAGAACTGTCCCCTGCCCACACAGTACTGTGGTAAGTAGAACAACTGATAACTGATGCCTCTTGATTATGGAAATACCTCCTCCTGGGCCAGTCCATTCTTTAGTTTGCATGGAACTGGGGGAAGCTGCCAAACTTGTTCAAGGTCACCAGGTAGGGCATGTGGGGACAAGGATCCATGCTCTTTCCAAAATCTTTTCTGCCCACCTCTTAGTAATCTTCTCTCACCTGCCAGGCATCCCCTAACGAGCTTTATTGAGGGGACATAGAAGGAGGCGTGGTTCAGTGTATCGTCTAATGTCACACAGTAGGGGACCTAGTAACTGATCTAAATATACGTTGAAACATGATGTAGGATAAAGATAGCATTATAATTAATAGGTGAAGAATGAACTTTTCGGTAACGGTGCTGTGACGATTGATTATCCATATGGACCAAAATAAATTTAGAATTCCTAACTCACACCATGCAATTCTAGACCTAGTCAAGGCCAAATATGAAATATATAATTGCAACCTCTGAAGAAAAGAGGCTGGGTTACAGAAGTGAGATACTCTGCCGATGGCTTTTTTGTTCTTTTCCAGGCGTGGTGGCGCAGATTCTGGAAAGGACGATACCCAGAGAACGCTGCCAGGCCGCCTAACCGGCCACCTCAAGGAAAGCTGTCGACATTTCTGCTAAGGGCTGAATTTACTGGGGCCCCTCTTGACTTCGTTTCCTTGAAGTTTGGAGGAATCCGTGAGGGTGGATTGATTCCCTTGTAGTAGTCATCCTTTTGGGGTACAAGATCACTGCCACATCGCAAAGTTCCTCACGCTGATGG